TGTGCATTGTGGTTGTTTAGTTTTTGGGGTGTTTTAGTCAATTTAAAGGTATTGAGTCGACTAGGGTTCACGGTTCTTGTTTGTTCAGACAAGACTAGTGTAGTAATGGAGCCATAAAATATATTTAGGGGGATAAATAAAAGAGTGGTGCTATAGGGATAACTTTTTTATATCACTTTTTGATACAATTTTTATATGTCATTAAATGAGTAGATACATTCAATATCATGGATTTTATATGAATTAAAAGAACTAATTATTTAAACGACACATCAAGTTGTACAAAAAGTTAGTACAAAAAAGTTGTCTCAAAATCATTTTCCTAAATAAAATTTGGATACAAAATTATTTTATATGTCAATTTAAAAAGTAAAAAAAAAATGAAAAAATATTTGTTAGTCTTTAATTATAAACTAATAGTGGTTTTTTTTTTTTTTTTACTAATCTCTGATAATCACATTAGATCTCGACTAATCCAAAATCGAGTCGTGTTGGATTTCATAAGAGAGAAACTCTCTTAATATTCGTTTTCCAATTCATAAGACTAAAACTTGAGGCCTTATTTAAAGAAAATTAATTTTCTTCTACTTGGATCAACAAGTTATTGATAATTAATAGTGGTTGATAATGCACTATAAATACCATTGATCAAAAGATAGAAATGAACATATACCAAGTAGAATAGCATATACTATGGACAAAGAAATAAGAAGTAAATATATTAATAAACCAACATTTTATAAACCAAACTAGTGCAACAAGTCGTATAAATAGATTTAACTACTAGATTTAATACTTAATTTTTACGGACATTTTCTTTTATACCCTATACTTACCTTATTTTTTTACAGTTTATGCATGGTAGTTATCCAAAGATTCCAAATAGATTAAATACTTACATATAATGGATGTATCTATATTCAATGTTCAGCCTAAAGTCTAGTATCGAAAACCAGTTTCAATCCCAAGTTTAATCGGGTCGATCGCAATCCAATCTCAAGTTAGATTGACCTATTAGCTAGCCCTAGTAGAGGACAACTTGGCTCTTGACTAGAATCGGCAGGCCTTGATTATGGCTACTAATTTATTTATTAAGATTATTAAAATTATATTTAATTTTATTGATATTTGCAATTTTTTAAATAAATAATTATGATATCTAAAAATATTAATTTATAAATTAATTTTAATTTATTAAATAATCAAAACTACTTATTAAATTCTGCTACTATTAATGCCC